ACCTTATGGGAAAATTTACTTCGATTTGCGACCAACTCGACTTGCGATCAGAGTCACGGAATGGATTAAGTTCGTAAGTAGAGATACCACTGTACTTTGACCCTCAATATTATATAACAACGTATTTTTATCACTTTAAAATTTCACTCTCCTTCAGATTCCTTTCATGGCATCATGTGACTCTATCTTTCCATCCTCCTACCAATAACATCTCCCTTTTATTCTAGGTCCTGGGTGATTTTTTTCTCTACTCCAATGAGTCTTAAATTTCTTTTCAGAAACTGTACTGGGGGAAGCATGATTTGACCTCTTGTTCTTGCACACTACTATGAATTACATCATGCCTTCCATAGTTGTGAAAGTCACATGGGTGGATTGTTTTTCTTGGCACATTAAATGGCAACTCATCTCATATCCATCTCTTCCTTGTACTGGAAAACTAAGAACTAATTTCCATGCACTGTAACAGACACAAGGGAGACATATGCAATTTTATATGTGTATCTCTTTCAAAGCATATAGTGGAAAGTAATCTGACGATACCTATATTAAAAATTGGAACAACTTGGAGAAGCTTTATGGTTACCCCTTAAAAGTTGTCCTTCAATCTGGGGCAAATGCAATGAAGTGAAAATATGTGAAAGAGACAGAATGGGGGCACTTATCTATAAAAGTTTGTCTTTGTGTCTCTTCCTTTTAAAATTTCAGTTAACTGGAGACAGGAGAGAAGATTATTTAAAGAGAAAATAATTGATAAATATGTATTGTCTTAATAATTAATGCATCTTAGAAATGAGAGTCTATTTGGTATGGTTAACACACACTGCATGTAAGAGGAACTGTATTAGCAAATTTTCAGAATTATGAAAATTAAAGGTACAATCAGATGGCACCATGGCTTATCTGAGATTGTAGTGACAATTGTGGGTAAAAGCAAACTAAAATTTTTGTTGTCAGAGGTATTCTGGAACAGTTTTGGGGGTGCCCAGGGTGCTGCTGCCAGGGAAGAATAAACACTTAATCCTTTCATACAAACACTCTCACACAATATTGAATTTTCTCCCATAGCTAATTGTGCTCATTTGGCTGGGATGATACCATTTGAGTTTAAATATTCCAAACATTTTCAGCAGTTATAATAAGATGTATGCATGTGCATAAATAAGGAGTGGATCTTAGGTGGATGGATAGGAAGGGCATGGAAGAAGAGGAAAGAAGTGAAAAATGAAAGTGAAGATTAAATAATAGCAAAAAAAAATACAAGACCTATATGAAAAAACAGAAAATAGATTTTTATTTTTTTTATTTTATTATTAAATTTATATGCCACCCATCTCCCCCTGAGAGTGACTCTGGGCGGCTTACAATTAAAACTGCATGATGTCAACTCTACTTGTAGAACATCCCTTGGTTTCCTCTTTTCTCATGTTGTTCTTTTCTCTGCCTTTGTAGCTTCATCCCTTCCTGGGAGATGCCCACTTCTATAATACCTGCATGGATGGAGTGTTTCTGGATGAGATTAATCTTTCAATACATTGAATGTATAGAAAGAGGACATTAAAGCTGCATTGAATGAAGTGAAAAGAATTTTATTACAGAGTGCCACAAATGTATGTGGAGTGATAGTAATGGGAATTATAAAAATGGATGCTTGATGAAAGAAGTGTGCTTCTGCCCTCTTTTACACATGGGAATGAGAATTAGATATATCAGAAACATAAAAGTAAGTTGAATGCAATTGGAATGGGGTTCTTAAGATTGTATGGTAAAATAGAGCAGAACTGAATTGAGTACAAAAGTATAAAAAGTCCATTGAGATGATTTGGTCATATAGAGAGAATGAATAAGGATCAAATCACAAAAAAGATATATGAAGGACGAATGAATGAGTTGAGAGGAAAGAAGATGACCAAGGAATCTGAAGTTAAATGGAATTGTTGAGATAGGCAAAAAAACAATGTAGGCAGCAATGGATGAATGTGGCAGAAGTAGGCATGGTTTGCAAGGCTAAGATGTGGAAAAGTATAGTGAATGTTGTTGATACAAAGTAGTTTTAGCTGTTTCCTTTTTTTTTTCCTTGTGCTTTTAATTTCTTTGGCTTACAATTTTTTAGCCCTGATTATAGGTATATATGAATGTAAGAATGTTTTATAACACCACTTCAAACAATTATTGCTAGTTATTTCCCTTAACTAATGTTTAAAAAAAACTATGTAGTTTTAACCTAGCATGAATTAAAATAAGAAAATATTGCTATCTGTGGCCCTACAATAAATCCTACTTGCTCTATTTTTTTTAGATTTCTTTAATTAAAAATAATTTTTCATGCAAACTTACAGTCTCCCTTCTTAACTGCACATGCTTTTAATATTTATATTGGCTTAGCACAGAACAAAGCAGCACAACTGCAAACATGGGAAGTACGTGTACCATTGTTTTCACTGTTTGACAGCAGTGTTAAGAATATGATAAAATAATTTGAATACTAATAAGAACTGATATATTAAGATGTACCCTGAATACCTTTTTGCAAAATTAGACTTTTTAAGAAACTGAGTCTTCTATCTGATAATAATTTAATAATTTAATTGTGAATAAAGTTGATTGAACTCAGTATGATTTCTTTTGAGTAAACATATGAAAGTTTGTGCTTTGAGATTGCTACAGAAGTGAAAGATACCTATCTGTAAAAATGGTAACATAATATTAGATGTTTTCAGCTGGACTGAAATAATGTATGTGAATCAAGAAGATTGAAAGGAAATTGTGGATTATAGCCAACATTATATGGCTGGACTTCTGTTTTACCCCAATTGGTAGAGCTACAAGATTTGGGCTGTCACAATTTGGATGAAATAGTATTACCATTTAGATGGCAGTAAAGAGATACAGAAAACAAACTCATTTCGGCCATCTAGTGGTAATGCTATTTTTGCTGCCCTAATCTAGTTGTCCTGCCCATTCATTCCCTTTCTGATCCTTTGGGCATCACCCAAATGCCATCTAGGAGGGCTCTTCCAGTCCTCAGAGCAAATTTGATGGATGATTGTAAGAGTTTCTGCTCAAACTTTCTGCTCAAAGATACTTTTTTGTCAGCATGTGGACAGCATATAGTCCTCGCTTAGCAATCACAGTTAGGATCAGCAATGTGGTTGCTACGTGATGTGGTCAAAATCACGTGACCACAACAGGGCTTACAACCTTACTTCTTCAGTCATTAAGCAAAATGACATGGTCACTAACTGAAAAATCATGTGATCACAACTTACAATTTTACTTCCACCTTCCATACTGTACAGTATTACCCTGTTGGTTGCAAGTGAAAATGCATGCCTGTTGTGAAGCACATGAATTGTGATCATGTGACTGAGGGATGCCCCCCTGTCTGCACTCCCTACTGTACCCACCCATGTTTGCCCATGCTCCCTAATGCCTGCCCGTGGCACTTACCTACCCACCTGCAGCACCCATCTGCCTGTTCACACTCCCTAGTGCCCACCCATAGCTCTCATCCACCAGCCTGCTTACTTGGGACTCCTGCCTCTTCCCACATTGTGATCATGTGAGGTCCTCGCTTAAGCACCCACGTCCTGGAACTGCTGGGATTGCCATCGCTAAGTGATGTGGTCATGTGACATTGGATTTTATGACTGCATTACTTAGCGATGGAAATTCAGGTCCCAATTGCCACCGTAACAAGAGGACTACCTGTATCCGGTTTCTCATCTGAAAAAATCCTAGATCTCTTGATGAATAACTGTGGTTCATTGGTTGCTTGATGTGGTCCTTTCATTATAAAATAGAAGTATATGATTAGCCTTGTAGTTCTGCATTATAATTTTAATTGTAAGGTTCGTAGACCTGAATCTCAGAAAATCCAGAACCAGGAATTCAGGCAGAGGCTCTTAAAAAGAAAACAGCTCTTTAATCGGCCGAGTGAATAGCTGGGTGGGCAGCAACCCAAAACACGGGCAGCGAAAGTTCTGGGCAGCTCCACACCAACAAGATTCCAAACACAGTTTTTATAGCATTGCAAAGACAATAGATTGCAACTAATAAGGCAGTTTAAGGCAGATTGAACCAGTGTTCCCCCCTTTACCCTTAAGACCTTTCCCCTGCGCTCTCCCCCCTCAAGGTCTTCTGTGTACGTGTCCTTCAGATAGTTTCTTCCTAGCACAAGCAAAATACAGAGGCAAGATAGTGAGAGCTAGGCTAAGAAAATCCCCCCCCCTTCATAATGTTATAGTTACTTCATAAATACGTTCATTTTGATAAATTAATGTATCTAACTGGAAGATTTTGCATATCTTTAGATGAAAAACCATCTGTGTTGCTACCAAAGGAAACACAAGAAAGAACTCCTCAGCCACAATCAGATCCAAGAAAACCATTACAGTCATCTCAGCCAGGCAAGTTTCCAGCACCATCACAACCAAGGACTTCCGTACAGTCACAAACAGAGGTGTATCTGCAACCATCACAACCCCAAATACCAGTACAAATTCCAGAACTAAGAATACCTCTGCAGCCATCACGTCCACAAGTAATTATACAGCCACCATTGCAAGGAATACCTCTTCAGCCATCAGATGCCAGAATTGCAATGCAGCCATCAAAACCAGGATTATCTTCTTTGCCTGGATCAAGTGGGTTATTGATGGAAGCTGGACAGGCAGGCCCTCCTGGTACGCTTCTAATGTCAGGAAGAGGACGACCAAAAAGAATAGATGGGCAGGATGGCCAGAATAACATGCTTATATCTGAAGGATACGCAGGAGCACCAGGTGAGGAAATTAGCATTTTGAACTCTGTGATTAGTACTTTCAAGTCACTGATGAAATCTAGGTTATACTGGTTGTAATATGGTGTTCAGATACTATGTGAAAAAAATTGCATTGAATGTCATCAGTTTGGATTAAGCATAGATGCAAATGGCCAATGTCATCCTATAAAAAGGTGTTAAATGGGAAGCCATACTTACATTTGACCTGAAGTAAATGTGTACGTGTGTGTGTGTGTTTAATAACTAAACCCTGGAAATTAATTTCACTTCCCAGTATAAGTGTGTTTAGCTGGGTTTCCAGCCATTTCACCTTGCATTCTTTCAACAAGCCATTTTGTTTTCTGTTTTGCTATGTATCAAATTATTTTTAACGTTCCATAGCTCAGTCCTCATTAGGATATTTTGGGGAAGTTTACCATTATTATTTTAAAGTTTTTGTCTATGAATACTAATGAAAATCTCAGGATACTTAAGTATACTTATATCCCCCCTTTACTTTCCCAGTGACCCTTTGGGGGTCCAGTTTCATGAGTTTTAACTGCTGAGTTTACTATCAAAGGAGATTATCACTTTATTATCACTTATCAGAATGGACAACAGATACAAATGGAATACAAAGAAAGTTGTAATTAGCATTACTATGGTTTCTGAATAACAGTCTGGAGTTCGTATCTGCCTAAATCCATTAATAGGGGAGTAATTCCTCCTGTACCTCAGGAGTAGGAGGTTACTTGGAGTTAATCAACGGTAAGGAGGAGAAACTGCATGATTTCAGCACAATCTGCTATTAACACTGGCCCAGCCTGAACACAGGTTAACTATATCCTTAATTGCTGTTTTGCTGAGAAAGGATAGAACTTTTCTCACTCTCTCTCCCCCTCCCCTCCTTCTCTGTGAAATCACCCTATAGCAAAAGGGAATGTTCTAGTTACAGCTGTCCAAATTCATTTTAAATAGCAGTTCTCAAATCACTAAGTTTGAAAGGACTACTCCAAAAAATTATCTGTAGGCTACACTAGTAAAATGGGACAGAGAGAAGAGAATAATAGTTTTTAAAATATTTTTTTTCATATATGCTCTTATTTTATAGGTTATCCAAAACCACCAAGACCTCCATCTCCACAAGGTAAGCTGTTGCTCCTCTTAATTTCTTGAACCTGATTTCCACAATATACTTGCTAATATCTTGAAACTATTTATGCCATAAATACTATTTCTAGAAATGTTATCTGGAGAAATCTTGTTGAGAAAATAGGTCTTTTAACATAATTTCAAAATATGAAATTGATCTTGTACTGTACTTAAGGGTAATGGAAGCAAGTGGAGAGAAAAATGGATACCTACTTACTGCTTTCCTTTTATTTACAAAGAAAGTTTGCAATATTCTTTGTTATCCTGTCAAAGTGTAGTTCAGACAGTAATGTTGAAAATGGATATATGGCAAAGCAGCTTGGAAAATAAAATCTGAATGTGATATTATATATGTGTAAAATAATGGGGAATGAGATTTATAAATGTGTTTTTTTTCTTTTAAGCATGCAAAAAATGGCAAATAGGCTTTTACCCAGGTGTAGAAACATACAACATATAAAACCAAGGTCTGTTAAACCAAGGTCTGTTAAATCAAAGACTTGCTATTTATTATTATTCCTAATGCTGGTGCCTAGAATCTTTGGATTTGTATAGATTTGCATCCTGTCTTAAACAGGCAGCCAAAGATTGATTGGCACATTTTATTTTATACAGTATATATACACACACACACACACAATTATGTACACACCAATATATTCCTTTGAGAGTGGCTCTGGAGGTAATATCCAAGGCTTTGCATGCAGACATGGGGCTTATTTCTAATTTAAGGGGAAAAAATAGTTATAAGACAAATTCAGCACTGTTTGTTTTGCATTAATATTTTTCTTAAACATATTTAAATTATATTCACTTTTCCATTTTAGTAGGAGCTATTACTTCTTTGGTATCTTTCTCTGCTGGCCTCACAAGGAAGCCTTTCCCTAAAGATGTGGGTGTGATACGTTTTAACAAAGTCCTTGTAAATGATGGAAATTATTATAACCCTAACACAGGTAAGGGACAAGGAGCAGGCTGGGCCTTTAATTTGGAATTTACTTGGAGTGTTAATAAATTACAATAGTGGACTTCAATTATTCAGATTAAAGATTCACATTTAATTTTCTGATACTTTATATTTTTCCATCTTTCTGGATTTGTTGCTCAGGTTTTTGGTATCATTATACACATGGTTTGTTCTGTTGCAAATAGCCGCTACAGCTTGAAGGGTAGAGGGGTGTAGCTATTTCACAAGTAGATATAATTTTACTCCAGGGAAAAGATCAGTAGCAGACTTGGGCAAGTTTGCAAAAATCTTTTGTGGGGGAAAGACAGCTTTCTGCTTTCATTTTATTTATGCCATATGCACAGTTATTTATGCTACAGTCAGGAATAGATATGGACATCGCTTTCTCTAAGTATCAAAATACCACACAATAGGGTTACTACGCAATCAGTTATTCTACAGACTCTCAACTGTTTCAGTTTCTTCAAGCTGTATATTTTCTATTTCTCTCTGCAGTTTATATAGTACATCACAAGCAAGTAATGCAGAAATATCTTGATTTAAGCCAGTTAATTTCCACTAAGTATGGGAAGCAATGCAGCCATACAGTATGGAGTTTTCTTTTTTCCCCCTCATCAGATTGGTTCACATAGTATTGCTGCATTGGCTTAAATTCTACTGGATTCAAAAGCATAAACAAACCAAGTTAAATTAGGGCCTATAAATCCTGAAAATTAAGTCAAGATTATAATTTTATATTCTGGCCAGAATGACCAGAATGTCATTCTAATGGCAGAAAGTGAAGAAGAACTAAAGAGCCTCTTGATGAGGATGAAAGACGAGA